GCATGGGGCAGCTTCCCTCACCACTGAGGTCTGATCTAAGCCAATCTGTCAGTTCGGTAATTGTCAGCTTCATCCAGCAAAAATAACAGTAGCTTCCAGATACTGAAGGTGGGTAAGGACCTTCCTTAGGATAATGCTTCCTCCCCCTACAATTTTGTTACTGTGATTTATTATGATGTAACCTAGACTCAGACCTAAATGTCCCACAGATACAAACATGTATTAGCCAATTGGCCAAAGAGACTACAGTAGTTGCACACACAGCGCCTCCAAACTTAGTGAAGTCCACACTTCTTGTTCTCAGCACTCTAACGAGATCACTTTCCTGGAAGATTCACTTGGATGCCAAAACATTGGATGCTGACAGAATGAGCTACCCTTCCAATCAACTCAAGTGAAAGAATTCTGTATTAATGAGGGTGACACAGAAGGAAACAAGTTAGCACTAGAAGCTCTGGGGGCTCAAAGGCTCTTAGGGTCCTGGGCTGCCAGGTTCTTATCCTCTATTTGTGCAAAGTGGTACCTGGATAGTGTAGTTATGCCCGAAGAATTGCTCTAGGAAGTACCTAGGATAATACTCATTTCACTATAAAAAAAACAAAACAAAACAAAACCTGCTATCTCTTGGTGCATGTTCAGATAGCAATATGTAAAGTATTGCATGAGCCTCCTTGAAGATTGAACTAGTGATTAGGGTCCTTGGACCTGCTAACTAACCACTTCTGCCTGGGGTGTGGACTCCTGACCAGACTGTTAAATGTTAAATCATTGTCCCTGGGATATAGATTAATTTACGAACACCTCTGCATCAAACTAGTGTATTTTCAAGCAAATTCCAGATGAAATATCAGACAACTTTAACTAACAATATTTAAATCTAATTTTATTTCTCACAGCATTTTTTTTTTCCTCCTGGGGTGGAAGTGAGATTGACTTTTAAAAATAGTTACCATGACTCAGAAATGGAGAACATGTAATATGCCTTACTATTAGTCAAAGGGCAGATATCCTACTCAAATTAATTTAAGCAGAGCAGATGTTGGCGGATCGTGGTCCTGGCAAGAATAGGAAAGGATCCAACTAAAGGCACTCTGGACACAGGGACTCAAAGGATATTGAAATCTCTACTCATTCTCTTTCTCTTTCTCTCTTCCCCTCTGCTTTGTGTTTCTTCCTCACAGGTGTATTTCTCTGTGTTTTGGCCTCACTCTCTTCTATTTCTTTTTTTTTTATGTTTATTTATTTATTTTGAGAGAGAGAGAGAAGGAGAGGGAGAGAGACAGTCCGAGCAGGGGAGGGGCAGAGAGAAAGAGGGAGGGAGAGAATCTTAAGCAAGTTCCATGCTCAGTATAGAGCCAAGGTGGTGCTCAATCCCACTGCCCTGAGATCATGACCTGAGCTGAAATCAAGAGTTGGATGTTCAACTGACTGAGCCACCCAGGCGCCCCTCTTCTATTTCTAAGACTTGTTACAAGGCATACCAGCCCCTTTAGTTTCACTTCCTTCTAGCTCTGTGACCCTAGAGTCAGGGGGCCCCTTTAGTACCTGATGAGGAAAGATGTGGATTATTTCAATTTATGCCACCTGGCCTGAATAATAGCCCCTGGATAATCCTTTTGGCAGGAGGCTGGCGTACTCTAAGTCTGGGTCACTTGCCCTGTGCTTCATGGGTGGGAGAGGACTGTTATCAAAAGAAAGGGTGGAGCCAAACTGCCCAAAACCGTAGTTTTCACAGCCTCCCCACCCTTCCTATTCTTTCCCTGCTTTCTTTGGCTTGTGTGTGTTAAATTGGATATTACCAAAAAAAAAACCAAAAAAAAAAAACAAGAGAAATTAAAGCTTTCTGTATCTTAACATTTTGTAGCACATAAACCTTGATCTGCCTCCTATTTTTCACTAGCAGAGACCATGTAAACAGCTGGCATAAGAACTTTCTGGGACTTCCCCCCTCCCCCTGGGATGATACCATTAAAATGGAAATCTGAACATTTTCATAAGCAGATGTGATCTAACATTGACCTGAAAAAAAAAGCCAATATGCCATAGCAGCAAATATCATAACCTAAGTAAATGTCCTTAAAACATTGAAATTAATTGAATTGGAGGCTGGCTAAGATGACCTGTTTACACATTTAATCATCATCTATAGATAAGAAGCTCTGGATTTTCCCAGTGAATGATGCTCCTGATAAATATCTCTCTGGTTTGTGGACAATAAAATGATTCAACAAATGCCATATGTGGTATTTAGCTCTCAAGGAGACCTACAGCCCAGTTGGAACACATCCTATTTGCTGTCCCTACTGGAGGGTAGAATGAACAGATTGCTGGTAATAGCTCACTCCACATAATGTCTGTCAGACATCATGTGCCAGGTCAAAAACTGACCACATGCAATGTGGACACCATTGTTTTTCCACTCCTCTCAGTTACTAGGAAGCTTCAAAGAGGAACAAAGAGAACAAATTGCAAGAACACTACTCAAACAATAAATTGTGGCGAGATATCTTACCATTATAGTATGATGACTAATTTATGGTAGTGTGGATTAAAATGTGACAAATGTATCAGTTGCAATTTTAAGTGTTAAAATACTTTGATGTGATTATTAGCAAGCTTCTGGCATGCAATTCTATTATTAAATATATTCTGAAGAGCATTGCCACCACAGCAAAAAGACACATTCCTAATCATATACAAAAGACAGTGGCCTGATGGAGGTTGGTGGAGCGACATGCCATAAAGTCTAACTTCTGCTACTTAGGACCTGGTTGGTTGCTGAGAATTGCACTTGGGATACTGAAATTGTATACTGTTGTGTGTGCATGAATGGTATAGTACCTGGATACTCCAAATATAGTACATGGACCCGCAACATCAGCATCACCCAGGAGCTTGTTTAAAATGCAAATTATTTGGCCCTACTCTAGACCTACTGAATCAAAAATTCTGGGAGCTAGGCCAGCAATCTGTGTTTTACAAGTCTTCTGCATGCTTCTGGTACACCCCAAAGTCAGAGGAGCATCATCTTAATTGGTGATAAGCACTCTCCTGGTGGCTTGTGCAACTGCCCAAGCAATAGGACTTGATGACGTAGGTGTACGTGATGCACGGGTCTCCCTTGTCTAGTGTCATTAGTTGCAGCAAGAAACCAACCCAGGAGACCTCCAGTGTTGCAGTGACTTCTTTCACCTAAACCTCCACCTCACACCATGAGATGAGCTGAAATACTCTCATTTTCATCAATTATTATAAGTCATCAATAAGAACTTCTTAGGTTGGTTTCACTTGTAGAGTTCTCTGTTATCTGTTCTCTGTTGTAGAGATAGCTCTGTTATCTTTCATCAATGCCATATGATATATACAATGCCATCTCTGATAGTTAGTCCTACTAAGTCTTCTATTTTCTATGACACATAGTCTTTAAAAACCCATTTTTATTTTAAATTATTTTTTTCACAAGACTGGAAGGCTTGAATTTTCTATGTCACTTAGTACTAGGGCAAATTCATTTCAACATGTATTCTAACCAATTCACTCCTTACTATTCATATATTAATTAAAAATTAAATTGCAGGAAGGTACTTTTTGAACCAGCGATCAATCAGCATCAACAAATACTTAAGTGTAGGTTACAACTGATACTCTGTTCTAGGACCAGCAAAATATATATAAAGGTTCTAAGACATTATCATCATTTAACATTTGGTCAAGGAGAAAATATGAACTCGAAAAATTTAATGACAAGTATCAGAAAGGAGTAGAAGAGATATTGTTAGGCATTATATGATTGATTATAAAATCAACAGAAAATTCAGTGGAAAGGAAGAGATCACTGGATTGAAAAATCTGGGAAGGTTTCACTCAAGGTTCCTTCCCTGAGCACATGTTTACAAAATACCTGCTCCAGGAAGGGCTTTGTGTAGGTGCTATAGAGGATGTAGAACTTGAGCTAGGCATCTGGGAAAGGCGATCCAAATGACAGGAACAGCACAAGCAAAGGTATGATATGAGGAGTTAATAGAGTAGGTCTGTCAGCTTTTTCCTCACCTAGACCCATAAATGACCATCACCAATCCCTGGGTGTGTGGTCTTTGGAAGGTTCTGTAAGTTGATGTTGAATTTTGATGATTTTGTCATACACACCTGGAGCAATGGGTCATGATTTACCAACTTCTCAGAATAGCTTCGCAAAAACACCAAGATTGCTGGTGCGCACTGGTTTCATTGTTAGGGCCCTGAGTTTCAGAATGGTCACATACCAGAATGTGCCTATGTGACCAGACCTTCATAGAAATGTTGGACCCTCACATCTGAACTGACTCCCCTGAGTGAAGGCATTCTGTACATGTCCTCTGCTAGAGAGAAAGCACATCCTACGTGGCTCTAAATAGGGAAGGACTTGAAAGCCTGTATCTAATCTCTCTGGATTCTGCCCAATGCATATCTCTTTCCTGCTGCTTTTGCACTCTACCCTTTGCTGCAGTAAACCTTAGCCATGAGTATAACCTGATATTGAGTCTTATAAATCCTTCTAGCTAAAAACCAAACATGAGGCGGTCGTGAGACCCTATGGCATGCAACAAAATTCAAAATGCACATGAATTTTTTTGGGTAGAGATATTAAGTATTTAAATCTGGTGGGAAAATTCAATTCTTGATTGCTGAATACAGGTAAAGGGTATGTGAGTGTTCACTGTACTGTAAAATCTCCTGTACGTTTGAATTTTTCAAAATCTAAATTTGTAAAAAAAAATGGTAGTACTGGGAAAATACTAAGTGCTAAGAAATCTTAGCAATTAAAAAAATCAATTATCGCATATGTGAAAGGGCATATATATATGTATGTGTATATATATATATATGTATATATATATAAAATCATAGAATTGTACGTTGTCTTGAAGAATAGAAGTTTTATACTCCACTGTTTAGTCAAATCTGTCTTTTCTTGTTTGTTTCATGTGTATTTTGGCAAGAACTCCTGTCTTGGACAGATGGGGGGCTGAGAGGCATGGTAGAGCCCTGAGTTCCTGGGCTGGAAGTGGGCATGAGGCTGTGATAAATGGAGCCAAGAGGATAATTACCAGGTCAGTTTCCTATGGAGTTACTGGGTCAGTAGTGCCAAGACCAATAGTCTAGGGTCAGGATGCCAAATTCAGACAGAACAACCAGAAGAGGAATCTCAAGTTCAAAGCTGATCTGTCTGACAGAGCAGGCAATGCAAAGAGAGTTCAAACAGAGAGGACGGCAGACGAGCCAAAAATGATTTCTGACAAAAGTACATACAGCTACAATTTCTTTTTTAACCTGGCTCCTGCTGAAAAAGATGGTACTTCCTGAAGTGACTGATGCAGCTAGGGAGTGGACATTTGTAAGGTCAGAGAATTCTCTCTCATCCTGAGATTGAATAAATTATTTATTTATTTATTTATTTATTTATTTATTTGAAATTTTCCATGTAACTATTCAATCTCTCTGGTTAAACTATTTTGTCTTTGTGCCTAAGTGAGATTGGTTTATACTGTGCTAGCTTCCTCAGGTATTATTAATAGGCTATGCATAGTGGTCAAGCACATGAATTCTGGAGTCAGACTCCATGGGTCCAAATCTTGGCTCCACCACCTAATAAGTAGCAATATTACTTAACCTCTTGATATCTCACTCTCTTCTCTATAAAATACGTGTAAAAATGTTACCTACCATAGAGTTGTCATGAGAATTAAAAGAGACCTGTATGTAAAGCACTTGGCACAGTTCTGATAGAGAGTAGGTAATCAATAAATTTTAATTATTTTGTTAGTATTTGCAGCATCAGAAGAAATTACAATATGAAAAGAAGGAAGGCTAGCATGACCCCCATACTGCTGGATTGGAATAAAAAGTATCAGGAGCAAGATGGTGGAATAGGAGTTTTCTACTGTTGTCCCACCATAGAACATCCATCTTGACAATCACTCACAGGTGAGAATACCTTTGTGGGTATCTGGCAGTCCATTGGAGGAGTTCCAGCACATCACTTGAACAGAAAATCTGAGACTAGACACAATGAAGAGGGCAAGAAGAACAGTTTTACTTTATTTGCATAAGTTCAGGGGATCTAATATACAGCATGGTGACTGTAATTAATATTACCGCATTGTATACTTGAAATTTGCCAAGTCTGGAGATTTTTTTTAATGTTTAGTTTTTACTTTTGAGAGAGAGAGAGAGAGAGAGTGTGTGAGCAGGGGAGGGGCAGGGAGAGGTGAGGACAGAGATCCGAAGCCAGTTCCTTGCTAACAGCAAAAAGTTTGATGTAGGGCTCGAACTCACGAACGATGAGATCATGACCTGAGCCAAAGTTGGACACTCAACCCACTGAGCCACCCAGGCACCCCACCAAGTCTGTAGATCTTAAGTAGTCTCACCACACAAACAGAAAAGATAATTATGTGAGGTAACATATGTATTAATTGATGTATGTATAATGTATACATATATCAAATCATGTTGTACACCTTAAATACATATAATTTCATTTGTCAATTATAATGTAATAAAAATGGTTTAAAAAGTATCAGTATATATAAAAAAGTATCAGTATAAAATAATGATTTTGGAAAAATGTAGAAATAGAGGTGTGTGCATGTATATATAGATATTAATTTATGTGTATTATGTGTATACACTTCTTAGCTCTGTCTGCTGAGAGGGCCTAGAAGCAATGATATCCTAGTAGCAACAAACATACTCAGTGCCCAGCTTTTGTTCAATTAATACACTTTTCCAAAAAATAAAAAGAAACCAAAGCTCCTCAAAGAAATGGCTAAGACAGAAAAAGACCACAAGAAGTGGTCAAAAAATGATGGCGGCACGTTGAAAGAACATAGGAACCAGTATGGAGATGGTGCCAATGGCCATATCTGGGACAATTTAAGCAACAAAATAAATAATGATTATAATATTTTTTAAAGATTTCTTTTCTTTTTTTTTTTTCAGAGAGAGATAGCAAGAGCGAGGGAGAGGGTCAAAGTGTGCGTGCGTGTGTGTGTGTGTGTGTGTGTGTGTGTGTGTGTGAGAGAGAGAGAGAGAGAGAGAGAGAGAGAGAGAGAATTCAAAGCTGGCTCCACACTCAGCACGGAACCGAATGAAGGGCTCAATCCCACGACACTGGGATCATGACCTGAGCCAAAATCAAGAGTTGGACACTAAACTGGCTGAGCTACCCAGGTGCCCCATGATAATGGTATATTATAAACCATGGAATAAAAATCATGTCCATAAGGCTATATAATAAAACATTAAATAAAAACAATCAGTAGAGTAGGGAAATCTCTTTGTTACGGTAGAATTCCAAGTAATAAATGTTGAAGAAGTGATGGAAATAGGAAATCACCATTTGCCAAACACATAGTGAACATTGTTTCAGACAAGAATCATTAATGGATACTAAAATTAGTGGGCTTAAGTATGGAGAAATGGGATTTATACATAACATCAAAGTATTTTCCCAGAAGATACTTATTTATGGCAAAGAGAAAAAGTGTCAAGCTCATGACAAAGGAAAATTGAGAAACCATTCCAGATCAAAGAGACTAAGGAGACATAACTGAATCCATTGTGTGATCTTGAGTTACTGCCTCTTGGCCCAAGGAAAGGAAGACATTAATGGACAGTTGGCAAAACTTGAATATGGTCTGTAGATTAGTTAGTGGTATTAGTGTTACTTTCTCGGTTTTGATAATTTTAATGCGATTATGCAACATTTCACGTTTGGGGAAGTTGAATTAAGGGTATACAGGAATTCTTTGTACTATTTTTGCAACTCTTTGGTAAGTCTGAAATTGTTTCATAATGAAAAGTTAAAAAAAATTTTCCTGTTCACTAAAATCTTTCCAGATGCTTCTAATATATGCATTAGTAATAGACATTTTGTATATAGATAGTTTGGTTCTGTTTTACAGAAATTGGATTGTATTATACATGGCTCTTTTGTTTTGTTTCCACTCAACAACTGTATTCGATTCTTTTTGGGTGTTGGCTCATCTCACAATGACCTAGTTTAACTTCCTTCTCCTTAAAGATGGGCCCCAGACAATCATATCACTACTTGTATGACTTCATTCCTTGGTCTCAGATGATCACATCATGGGTAGAAATCTGACCCAAACTTTCTCTGTCAGTTGTTTTCTACCAGGAATTTGAAATTGGGGCCATAATATTCTTTTTCAGACTGAGCCACTGTTTTTTTTTTTTTTTTTTTACTTTCTATTTTTGAATTTAATTGAAATAACAGTGTTAATACTTCCATGACTTTCAGTGAGTTATTCTTCACCTCAGATCATTTAATAGAGAAAGACAGAGTGTGAGCGAGGGAGGGGCAGAGAGAGGGAGACACAGAATCTGAAGCAGGCTCCAGGCTCTAAGCTGTCAGCACAGAGCCTAAAGCGGGGCTCGAACCCACAAACTGTGAGATCATGACCTGAGCCAAAGTCAGATGCTTAACACCCAGGTGCCCCCAGACTGAGCCACGGTTTTGAGTGAAGGAAAGTTTAAAACTTCAGAGCTGGAATGTGGCTGTAACCTGATGGGTGAACTGAGCAGCTGAGACCCTTCCTAGGCAGAGAGATGACAATTAAACAGAGAAGCAAAGAAAGACAGGATATGAGAAGGCATTTCCTGGGTTCCTGGTTGCTAACCATTTTGTTATCTTTATGCTCTCCTGAGATCCTTCTGCCCTCAGAGTCTACAAGACACATTGGGGCTTTATATTCTCCTTTTAGGCTCAGGCAAGCTGCCAAGAGGCAGAAGCCACACTAGTTATTTTACAGAATGATTTGATATAAAGAATTGCTAACTAGATATTGATGAAATGAAAAAGCAAAAAGAAAACATTAAGGTATCAGGGAGGTAACAACTGCAGGAAGCAGATACCACTATTAAGGTTGGATAGAACAAAGGAACATAGCTGGGACTATTAAAACTTGAAAGCTTGAAGAAAGCACCAGAAGAAATGCTTGGAGGGTCCCAAGTCCCAGCATCACAAAGCACACTAAGGAAGGGTAGGATTGAATCAGAGAGACAGTCACATGATAACTGACCTGTCAGCTCAGATCATTTTCTGTCACTTGCAAACAAAGTTCTAACTCACAAAATATTTTATGAAAATTTTGCATGGCAATATATACATTCTCCAAGAGGATTTCAAATGGTTGCACAGTACTTAATTATATGCATGCACCCCAGTGATTCCCAAGCCTCTGCTTTTAAATTTTTTGGTTGTTTTTAGTTCTTCACTATCGTGTACAACGTTGTGAACATCCTTCCACATTCTTCACTGTACATTTATCTTCACATGTATCTTCAGTTCTCTGAATAATTTCCTAGAACTTGTAGGTCAAATAGATACACATTAAAAAACAAAGCTTTGGGGCTCTTGGGTGGCTCAGTTGGTGAAGCATCTGACTGTTGATTTAGTCTTAGGTCATGATCTTCTGGTTCATGAGTTCAAGGCCAAAGTTGCACTCTGCACAGATAGCATGGGGCCTGCTTGGGATTCTCTCTCTCTCTGTCTTTCTGCTTATCCCCCACTCAAGCTCACTTGGTCTCTCTCTCTCTCTCTCTCCCTCTCTCTTTTTTTCTCAAAATAAACCTTAAAAAACCTTAATAAACCTTAAAAAAGCCACAAAGCTTTGGGTATTAAAATTTGTCAAATCTACAGAAAAATTACATGAGTAATACAAATGAACCCTAGGTTCAAGAATTATTGACTTTCTCCACATTTATGTTCTTTCTCTTTCTCTGAATCATGTAAGAATGATTTGCATATAATAAAAGTTATACTTTGTAGAGTCATTTAAAAATTTTAATTCTAGTATAGTTATCACAGTGTTATATTAATTTCAGGTGTACAAGACTGATTCAATAGTTCCATATATTAGTCAGTGCTCATCAAGATATGTGTACTCTTAATCAGCTACACCTATTTCACCCACCCCCCCATCTATCTCCCCTCTGGGAATCATCAGCTTGTTCTTTATAGTTAAGAGTCTGTTTTTTGTTTTGTCTCTCTTTCTTTGTTCACTTGTTTTTTTCTTAAATTCCACATATAAGTGAAATCATATGATATTTGTTTTTCTCTGAGTGACTTATTTCACTTAGCATAAAAGAGTATACATTTTAAGGCTTTTAATTCATATGGCCAAAATGCATTCCAGAAAAATTGCACCAATTTACACCTATTAAATAGCATATGAAATTGTTTCTTCCCTATCCCCTATTCTTCCATTTCTGGCCAAATACCTAGTCTTAATTATTGTAGCTTTAAAATATTATACATTTTCATTACCTGGAGGGTCAAGTTTTCCTATATTTTCTTATTTTTAAAAATTTTATTGATTAATCACTCAGATCATTTAAATATCATTTTCAAAGATTTGAAAAGTTCCTGTAAAAAGCTACAGTTTATAAGTTAAAGATGGATACTGGGCAGTATTTTTATGGTGAAATGACATGTTTAAGATTTGCTTTAAAAGACACCAGCCAAAACCAGAAAAAACGGAGGTAAGGGTATAAATAGATAACACAAGATCAGCAAAATTGTGTTAACTATTGAAGCTACATCATGGGTTTATTATACTAATTTCTCTATGTTTGATATTTTCCATGCTAAAAGATAAGAGAAAAAGAAATTCCCTTAAAGATTTCATTAAAATAATCCATTAAATCAGAATCACTTGACATCATTACTACATAAAATCTTGCTCTCAATATTCACAGTATATTAACTTATTGGCTTAATCCCATAATAGACATAAAGTAGTTACAGAATTTGTAGCTCATTCCCTTCTAAAAAACAAGTTTATTGACTACAGTACAATATTCATGCATAGTTCTTTTTCTTTTTAGCATTAGTGAATAGGTGTGAAAACTTTTTTGCCAGATGGTAAATATTTTCAGCTTTGGGTGTCGTACGCTTTCTG